AGGAGGAGGAGGTAGTAACGGCCCTCTTCTTGTCATCCCTATTGTTAGACCCCAGGCAAGAATTACTTCTGCAATGCTGGTTTCCTTTCCTTGAAGTTAGAGGTGTTATGATGGGGTTTTTGGTGTTTTGAGATTTTTCTTTTAATTCCCTTTGGCTACTGTTTAATCGTTTAAGCCTACTCAGGAGAAATCTCTATGTTGATTAGTACAAGATAATTAGCAATAATTGTACCCTAATGTACAATTATTGCTTTTTTCCTCTGGAGAAAAAAAAATCTGTTGAACAAAGGTCGCTCCTTGGATTTGCTGTATTGGCTACTCTACAATATTTGCCATGGGATTCAATAAAAATATAAATGTTCTTTTTTTTTAAAGAAAAGAGAGAGAAAGAAAAGCATGGCAAGAAGGGTGGACGCCGCTTGTCTCCCGGTGTCTGTTACAGGGTCTGGTATTTGCATTATAGAAAAAAAAGGTCTTTTGTGGCAACTTTCATAGGCTGAACTGGAAGCCCCTTGGACAGAGGCCTCCCTAATTCACCAGAGTCTAAGAAGCAGGAGGCAGGGAGGCAGAATCAGATGTGCAAGATTCTGTTATGATGGCCAATCTCAAGGGGGGGAGGTGCGGGGGGGGAATCGTTTCAGCTCTTCTGTGGAATTGACTTCCTGTTCTGGTCTACCTCGTGCGGGAGACCCCCAGACTCAACTACCTATCTCAGGCATCTTTAAGGGACTCCTGGAAGCATTGGCAGTCAATCAATGTTATCTTGTACACTGGACAGGAGAGCTGACGGACTTTCTGTCTCGCCAACAGGCTGTATATGCACAGAGTTTTCTTATCTATGAAAATGAACATATTTTTAGTTATTCTGGTAAATTACCCATGAAGCAACATCAAGATTGGTTACACACTTCAGAATATAAAACCAAACACTGATGTTGTGATAAATAAATACACTCCCAGCTAAGCGGCCAGTATAAAATAGTGAAAAAAGTAACATTGCTTACTAATAAAGATTTTTTTTAATATAACTATTTTAAGTTTAATAACATACCATGATACTCTAATTTCACTACAGACTTTTTTTTATCAATGTACAACGAAGCTTTAGAATTCAGGTCTTCAAGATAATGATCCACTCTGTCATTTCTTCTGGTTTCAGTCAAAGAGCCTCGATTCATGCTATTTATAACCCACTTTTCCACTTGACCAATAGCATTTTCAGAAATATTGCTTACCACAGAAATCCTAACGCTGCTTTTAAATCATGCCATGCTACTCCATCTAGCAAAGTATGATATATTCTGCATGATCTTTTCCCAACCTATTACAACATTCCTTTAAATGGCAAATGAAGAATCAGCTAGCAACAATTCTGCATGTACTCAACCTCCAAACCATTCAAATTCTCCTTCCATCTTTCTTTGCATTAGCAATAATAGCCTTGTCATAATTATGAAACATAATTGCTAGGCATAATTTAAATGAGGTTATCCTAACTTGTTGCCTTATGAGATTGCCTTTAAACATCTCATACAGATTTAACTGTTGTAAAGTAAGAGTGCTTGATCAAAACAACAAAAGAGAAGACATTTCACTGGTTTTAAATAATGTCAGAAAATAACAGTATAACTAAATGATGTATTGAGTCCATAATTTTCAAAGGCTTATGCCATAAAACCTTGACAATATCATAACCTAAGCCCATGATGGCAAACCTAGGGCAGGCATGCCAGAGCCCTCTCTGCTGGCACGTGCACCATCACCCCAGGTTACCGGAGGGTTCCGGATCCCATCACAATCACCANCCTTACACTATGTCACGGCACACTAGTGTGCCGCGGCACAGTGGTTGAAAAACACTGCTCTAGGAGGTAGAGATAGCATCCAGCCCCACCTGGATTGGTGTCCGGTCCTGGGTCCACAAGGAGATACTTCTTCATCACAACACGTCAGCCTGCTGCAACGCCTTTGTCAAAAAGCTGAGAGAAGCAAGCAGAGGCAGTGTGTCGTCAGTTTGCAGATTCAGTCCAATTAGCTGACAGATGGAGTTAACTTATTTCTGGATGCTATCTTCACCCCCCCCTTAGAACAGGTGTATCAGGTAAGATCAACACCCAATCTATTAAGCTATTTTGAAGACCTTGGGCCAGCACACTGCCTACTCTACGGATCTGTTAGAATAAGAACTGAATTAATGTATTAGCGCTTTCCTCAAGGAAAGGAAGAAAAAATGCAATTATGGACAGTAAATTACAAATACTAAATATTGTAAATGAATAAATAAATAAATCCATAGAACATCTTAGTAATATGTACTACTGTCAGTTTTACATGCTATTTGGTTTTTAATTTTTTTTTACTTTGTAGTATATTTTACAAGCCACTTAGAGAACTTTGGTTAGACATTAACAAAGAAATGTAACATGCTCAAATACATCAAAGCTTGCATAAAAGTAGTTGATTTAATTTGCTTGATGAACGAGCCAATTTTTAATCAATGTGCTTTTGTTGTATTTTTATTAAGTGCAGTTTAAAATTTTAAAAGTTTATAAACAGTTGCTTTGGACAGCGAGATGGGCAGCACTGAAATTTAATAAATGAAATAATAAAAATAGAAATAAAAATGAAACTGCTTTCATTTATTGCAATGTGAGATCTTTTCAGACTATATCCTGAAAGAGTGCTTATAACCTTTTAAAAAATCAATTAAACAATTAAAGGCTTAACTGTTTAATTGATTTTTTAAAAAGGTTTCTAAGCAGACCTTTAGGATAATACACATTATTATTACACAGACTCCAGTCAATTGGATAAACCTTGAAAATGAGGGATTTTATGTAATGTGACTGAAACACATCTTGTAATGTGATGTATTCTCTTCTGTGATTCAGATTCCATACTGATTTCCTTCAGTATGAGTGCCAAAAGGGCAGCCAGGCACAAGAGGGAAGGTCAGGGTTAGAATTTCACCTATCTTGCTATTTTGTGCAAGCTGTATCGTCACAATCCTATATATACTTTTTAAAAATGCATATTATTTAACTGTGGTTTACTGCCAACAATATGAATTTAAGGACTGCAGCCACAAACAAGACAATTTGCAAGTGTGAGTATCCTCTAGTGAAAAGAGCTGTTTAATGCACCAATTTCAAAGACTGAAATTAGAACACTGGGAAAGCTGAGGGAAGGAATTATGCACAAAGTAATCTATACCAGTTGTGGTTTGTACAAAATTCTACTTAAACTGTGAATATAAATAACATACATTACACTTGGTTACTAAAATTTTAAAATATTGCCAAAAATTTAAGCAGTTTCACAAGATCACAGGTATACCGTGGGCAGGAAAGATAAGTGTAAAACCAAGGAGATAAAACCTGCATTCTATGTGGAAGCCCTTCATACAATCCCTGGAATCAATCAAAAGGCACGATTTCAAAACCTCTCACAAAACGTAAGCATTTTCTCCTTTACTTAAGGGAAACTGGAATGCAGTCCTGTCATTTAAAAGTCAAAAATAAAAGTCATTTCTCCATCGGACTTCAGGCAACAATCAGGATCAAAAAATAATAAGCTACACTACACAAAAGAGAAGATGGGGGAATATCATGTCACATCTATTTGGTATTCAATTACTGTATTTTTCAGACTTTAATAGCAATAGCAATAGCAGTTAGACTTATATACTGCTTCATAGGGCTTTCAGCCCTCTCTAAGCGATTTACAGAGTCAGCATATTGCCCCCACAGTCTAGGTCCTCATTTCACCCACCTCGGAAGGATGGAAGGCTGAGTCAACCTTTGAGCCGGTGAGATTTGAACTGCTGAACTGCAGATAACAGTCAGCTGAAGTAGCCTGCAGTACTGCACCCTAACCACTGCGCCACCTCGGCTCTTAAGATGCATCGGAGTATAAGATGCAACAAGATTTTGAAGAGGTAATTTTTTTAAAAAAGTTTTTGTACTCTGCAGGCCTCCCAAACCCTCTGCACTTCCATTTTTGCGAAAAATGGGATGTGCGGGGGGAGGTTTCAGGAGGCCAAAAATGCTGCATTCAATGTATAAGACACACCCAGATTTTCACCCTCTTTTGGGGGGGGGGGAAAGGTGCATCTTATACCCTGAAAAATATGGTAACTTAAAGCCATTTGAATATTTTATGCATTTAGAAAATGGACCACCAACATTATTTTTAAAACAAAAATACTGTTGTGAGAATAATTCAGACATCTTAAAAATGTATTATTTACTATAACATTCTGGAACAGATATTACTATTACATTGATAGACTATAGGATGGCTATCTCTCAAACATCCCTACAAGTTAAAACCATGAGTTTGATTTAAATTGGCAAGCAAATAGTTTAAAAGTCAAAGCTGTGCTTTGATGATAAAAAAGCGGAAGCCAGCCAGGCAGTTTTGTACATACACGTATCAAAATATCCTTCAGGGATGTCTACAGGGTGTCTGTATTTAGAATTTGGGATAAATTCTAAAGCCCCAGGGTAAAGAGAGATGGTTTCAATTTCAATCGCAAAGGAGTAGCCATTTCATTCTGGTGCCCATTCAGATAACCACTGCTTGCAGTGCGTTTGCTGTTTCTCCATCTCTTGGGTCTTTGTTTCAGATGTGACCTCATAACTTGGGACAGCAGATGGATCTTCCTGCTTTTCTTCCTCCCCCGCCCAAATGCCCTTCTCTTTCAATTCCTGGATCACCTCATCCAAGTGGTGTATAAGATGCTGAGGGACCCAACTGCTGTCGAAGGAGGGAACAAAGGGATCTGGAGCGTTCACTTCAATAAACTCCTTGCTGGTTGGAATACACAAATAAAATGCATGCAGCATCATCCGATATGGAGCATTGTCCTTCTTAAAGCTATAGGTAAAGTCCCCAACAACTGGGTGCCCGATGGCACTGCAATGGACCCGGAGCTGATGGGTTCTTCCTAAGAAAGAAGATGTACAAGGAGAACAAGTTTCCAAACAGGGGAACTTAGTGTCAACTCATAAAGCATTCGCATGTCTGTTATCAAGTTGCCATGGTGAGGAAATGTGGTAGTTTCCAGAAGACGGTCTTAAGTCACAGATTGATAAATGGCATATAGACAACTTCCTGTACTTAAAGCAAACATGCATGCTGTTGCACAAGGTCATCAGTGTCAGGTTTCTGAAAGATGCTCTAATTAATTCATGAGCCTTGAGCCAAGTTTCAAAAGAAATCCAGCCATTTATTAGGAACACCATTTCGGCAATACCCCATTGCAGTCAGATCTGACTTCATTTAAATTATGGCTGAACTTTGCCCGCGTTTCTCCCCCTCCCCTCAGTAATCATAAATCACATTCTCCAACAAGGTGCACACCTCACAAGCCTGCTATAGTAATCTGAGATCCGACTCTAGCCGAAGGTATGTGTGGAATGCGCTCCCCCTCCTTTCTTCACCATGGCAACTTGATAACAGACATGTAAATGTTTTATGAGTTGACATAAACAGTGACTTCTCTTTTGCATTGCAGAAGAGAAATTTTATGTTAATTCTGGGGGAGAGATCTCTGTACCTGTGAGAGGCTGTAAAAGCACTTTTGTTGCTGGCTCTCCACTGTACAACCCATATTCAAGGACTACGAGTTCTGACCGACAAGGTTTCGGGCTTTTGCAACCTGTTAAGAATTAGACGTTATTTTTTATTAAGAAGCAGTAATAGTAATTCAGCAGTTTCAAAAATTCCAGCATATAGTCCAGCAAGGTACATTTCACTATTACGTTTGTTTAAAACATTCTCTGAATACATGAACTATCACTAAGGATTGGTTGAAAACCAAACTGTATTAAACCTGGTTCATAAATCAGTGTTTCATGCACAGACACAGTCCTTAAGTTAGATACAAAACAGATAAAAGCACAAAGGAGTATAAAGAAAGAAATCATAAGGGCAGATGACTGCTTAAAAGGCAGGAAGCTGCCTGCACTTGGCCAGCTACAAAGTCATCTGCTTTAGACTGTATTTCCTGGCAGAAGAATTTCAGAGTTTCAAGTGGTATCTCTTCCAAGTCTGCCTAGAGGATTGGACAATAAACTTGCAGCAGCCAAAACAGGTACAAAGCAACAAAGCATTCAGGGGCCGAGTGCAAGTAATTAAAAGTAAAGGAAAAAAATGGAAAGGGGCTGGATGGTCCATTCGGACCTAAACCGTCCCGCAGAGAAGGGTACCTCCTGCTGATCTCAGGGACATTGCAAAGTCCCTGAAAGATCCAGGAACAGCAACAGAAACGCAGCTAATGAAGCTGCTGAAGTTGGGACAGCTCCGGAACAGGAAGAAAGCAAAAAGGAAAAGTGTGTCAAATTGGTGAGGAAATTTTATTATTAGAGACTACCCCCCCAAAAAAAAATTAAGTTAAATTAAAATTGAAGATAGAAGGCTATAAGTGGCGAAATTAATCTACTTAGTGTATTATCCTACTTCTGTTTTTTTTTCATGGATGGAATTTTTGCAAAGGCTCCCTATTCTTTAAACTGAATAAATTATTATTATTTTTTTTTCACTTTTGCTTACACCTTTGGATTAAAATTTTCCTTCTTTTTTTATAATACTTGATTGGATTGATTGGATTGTTTTTGATCTCCATTTAAGGGATTTTTCTTCCTTAAGCTTGGAATATAAAGAAGATAATAAGAAGGATTATAAAGAGGGTTGTAACAACAGGAGGAAAAGCAGTTACACTTCCACTTCGAGGCTGGAGGCTGGATACATTGTTTTTTCTTCTTTCTCTTTGATCACTTGAGAGTCAAGGTTCTTTCCGTTTGTTTACTGACAGTGATAGTAGGAAGAACACAAGTTGTTTATACAGGTGCCTTTTGGAAGTTCTATCACTAGCTATTGGAGGGAAGACAACATTCTGACTTGAAAGATAATAAATGAACCTGTTTATTAAAGTAGCCTTGAACCCTACAGTGGCAGTGCCTGCAAAATTGGAAGAATGGCGCAGCAGGAAAAACAAACTGTAACATTGCAAATGATTATGTTTGAAATTCAAAATTTATTAGTTGTGACAGAGAGAATTGAAAAGAGACTGGAGAATATGGAGTACAAAACAGAAAAAAATGATGGAAAAACTGAGGATGTTTATCAAATGAAGAATGTGGAGGACAGAGTTCAAAAAATGAAAGAAAAAAAATGAGCAAAGAGATAAGAAATCTGTGGATACTGACAAAAAAGTAAGTGTGGTTGGTAATGGCAAGAGCGGAATATGGAAAGGGCAGAAATCTACCCCAGACTTCAAACCACATTAGAAGAAAAGAGAGAAAAATTGACGGAGAGAAGGAGAGAAAT